TCTGCTAGCTTCCAGTTCTCTTCTCACCGCAACAACACACCAACCACCATGGTATCTTTTTGGTGTCTCTGCAGTGCAGTTGACTATGGTGGTGGGCTGGGGTGCTGCTGCTGTTGCTGCTGCGGATGATGCTGGCATGATGGACGGCTTTCTTGCCACTACTGTACCGCAAATTACGCTTGAAAACACAGCTGATGTAGTCTCCAGGTCTGGACAAAACGCACACGGAAAACAGCGCAGTATTTCTATATTAAAATTGTCACAAGTATTCATCCAGGTAGATAATGCCATGTGTATCCTGATTCCTGACCATCACATACTAGTAGTTTCCTACCATTGCATTTCTTTTTACGAGTTTCACATTTATGCACGATCATTAGGCAAGTAAAAGAGATGATACTCACCCAGGACATCCATTTTCTCATGACTTGGCAACTTGGACAGTGTCTCGAGGAGAGACGTCCAGGCCAGATTAATAGTGTCAACCTTACTCCTCTTCACCATCTTCAACAGGTCAGTTCGGCGATGACGATCAGCATGTGCAACATCACGATAACATATGTCAATCTTAGATAAAAGGTTACAACTTCGGGGCTGTTCAACTTCACGGCGTAGTGGATGGCCCTTGCAACAGAAGTTTCCCTGGGTCTGTACTTGACTGGAGGTTGATAAATCGAATGCTCTGTACATGCAGCATGCGTGTGTAACAAACCAAAACAAAGCTATTCAGTGATAGAAGTATTCACTCGATAAAGCTTGGTTTTACTCACCTCTCGCCAAAGTTCCAAACATCACTCGTAAAATGGCTACCGATATCTCCCTGTCCAGCATGACCATGCACTGCCGACGAATCCACGACGAAGAGTGATAATACTACAAAAGGGAAGCGGAAATCTGACGAGAAGGTTTATGTATGGAGACGTCAAAACTGCTCCGCTTGCAGGAAGAACCAAAATAGATTTTGACATTTTGAAAATCCCGCGGAATTGGTGAATGTGGCACAAAAAAGATTATTTGGAAAAAATCGGCGTGCTCCAGCGCGAGGCGAGCATGGATCACGCTCGCGCATCTCGTTTCCACTCCCGGTATTTGACGACTCCCTGATAAACACCGATGTCGTAGTGTTTATGGGAATATAAAATACTGCTATAAAAACCGAGGCGTAGCCGAGGTTTTTATAGACAGTGTTTATATTCCCATAAACACAAGACAGAGGTGTTTATTCTATTTATACCTAGCTTCGGTTTTGGCCTGAAATACTGGTCCGAAATAGCTATTTTAGTATCCCAGTATACAATAGTATACTATTATGTGTAGGTAGTATTGCGTGTTCCAGACCTAAGACCTTTCTTTCAACCAACATCTGCATTAACACCCTGGTGGCTGGGTGGTCAAGATAGGTGGTCACGGAATGGGTGAAGGAACTGCAAGTCCTCACCAGGTACGCCCAATCGCAACCACAAGCAGCGTACACGGCGTTCACGCAAGGGCTGAAGGGCAAGTGGACATTCCTCGCTCGCACCATGCCAGAAGCGACGGAGAATTTCCAGCCACTGGAGGAGATTATCCACGGCGAGTTTATCCCGGCGCTCACAGGACACCCCGCTCCTGATCAGACCACCCGCACTCTCCTCGCTCTGCCTTGTCGCCTAGGGGGCATGGGTCTAATCAACCCGTGCGATCTCGCCAGCCAGTTGGATGACTCCAGGACCATCACGCAGCCATTGGTGGAGCGGATCATCGTGCAAAACACGGACCTAGGTGATGTTCACCACACCATGAAGGCAGAGAAGGCGAAGGTGCGCAGGATCCACTCCGTAAGGGAGAAGGAGACCCTAGTCGCTGTGGAAGAGAGCATCGCTTCGGACTTAAAGCGGTCCAGGGAGCTGGCGGCGGAGAAGGGTGCCTCGTCGTGGCTGACATGCAAACCACTGAAGATGTTTGGCTTCACGCTATCGAAGGGCGCATTTCACGATGCGGTTTCATTGCGATATGGCTGGCCTCTGAAGCGTTTGCCCTCTGCTTGCAGCTGTGGTAAATCATTCACCGTGGCCCATGCTCTCTCCTGCTCAACCGGCGGCTACCCTAGCCTCCGCCACAACGAGGTACGCGACCTCACAGCATCCATCATGAAGGAAGTTGCGCACCAAGTTGTGGTGGAACCGCTGCTAGAGCCGCTGACAGGTGAGAGGATGACGCTACGGTCAGCTTCAACTGAAGACAACGCCCGCCTAGACATCGGTGCCAGTGGAGTCTGGGGAGGTCGGTACGAGCGTTCGTACTTTGATGTCCGGGTTTTCAACCCCCACGCCCCCACCAACGCCAAGTTTGCCTTGCCCGCTGTGTACAAGCGACATGAGCAGGAGAAGCGTCGCCGCTACGAAGAACGGATCACCAACGTCGAGCACGCCTCCTTCTCACCAGTTGCCTTGTCCTGCACTGGAGGGTATGGCAAAGCTGCGACAGCACTCTATGCTCGGCTGGCATCGATGCTCGCCGACAAGAAGCAGGAGCCGTACGCTGCCACAATCTCCTACATCCGATGTAAGCTCAGCTTTGCCCTCATCCGTGCGGCTGTTGCCAGTCTGCGAGGCCATCGGCACCGCGTGCCCTCAGATGCAAATGACTCGGCCCGATTTGCGGTTGCCATGAGCAGCATCGGTTAAAGCTCCCTCCCGAGGCTCCGTACTAGACTGTTTTCACAGCCATTTTTGCTCTCAGCCTTTTTTTGCTCTCTCGACTGTTTTCACAGCCATTAATTTTTTGCTCTCTCGACTGTCTTCACAGCCATTTTTTGCTCGTTTTTCTTCCGGTGCTGTTGAGGTTGCACTCGTAATTGTGTTTATTTTGCCCGTATAAGAGGCTTGGCAGTTGTAAAAAAAAAAAAAAGAAAAAAAAAGAAAAAAAAGATAGGTGCTTGGGAATCTTATGGTTGCAGGTTCGATTCCTGCTGACACTTCTTTCTTCTCTTCAATTTTTTTCTTTTTCAATTGGAGAGAAAATTTCTAAGTCCCTTGAAAGTTGAAAAGTTACAACCTCTAAGTGGGTAATATAGCAAAGTATACATGTATACCCCAAGTTAAAGTGGTGAATATGGAGATATATTCACCAGTTATAGATCACAGGAATTAGTGGGGGTTAATATGAGCTGGGTATAATTTTTAATATACGAAAGTCCACTATATTCCCGAATATGTGCGAGAAGTGGTACATGGTGGCGGGGCCAGGCCAGGCTGCTCTGCCGACCTCAAAGGTCTCGGCCGCGGTCCAGCTACGTAGACAAAGCGCGCCACAATGCAGTAAAACCATGAGGAGGCCCGGGCCGGCGGGAGGAAGAGGGAAAATGAATAAGGCCAAAACAAATAATGACCTTGTTGGCCGACCGGGCCACTTTTTCCCAAAGTCTGAAACTTTTTTTGGTCACAAATGTATGCAAAAGGTGGCAATGCCATGTGTGCAAGTGCACTCAACGAGTCATAACTCAGTCAAATCTCAACCGAATTCCATAATCGAAACACCTACAAGATAGCAGAGATTCTCAGCTGTCGGCTCGAAAACCTCCGGGGTCGATACGAGCTAGAATAACGGAGCTGGAAGGACTCGAACTGTTTGCTTGATTTCTCAGGATGTACGAAAACAGGAATACACCACATGCTGTACAAGAACAGTGAGTCAGTCAACTTTGACATTGATCCTTGCCATGATATATGTACAATGTACATGTGTAGGTGCTCTTGTCCATCAATGCCACAATGATTGAGGAACCAAAAAAAGTATCCAAAAAAATTGTCATTCCGGCCGACCGAGTCTCCTTTTTGAGGGGTTGCCGACCGGAAACAAGCCTATTTTTTGTTTTGGCCTAATAATAATTAATAGTGAGAAACGAGGACAATGGGTAGATGGTCGTGAGAGATTAGAAGCAGAGTGAAAGATAACGTCACATTGTGGTAAGGGGGGGGGGAGGATGCTAGTGAGGCACTGGTCTAAACCGTTTCATAGGGCGTCGGTGGCTGCTTGCCAGTTCAGGTGCAGCAGATACTTGTTGCATTTTTCCTTGAAGGATTGTTGTGTAATATGCGCATAATGCCTTCTCTGAGAAAACAAGAAAAATTCGGGCTCTGGCTGATGATTGCGAGTGTAACAGTATAGACTTGATTGATTGGAGAATTCCTCGAATGATGTTCAAACCAGAGGTTATAAAGCAAAAGAAAGGTGAGAACCGCAGGAGTGAGAATAGTAGGAACACAAGGTGTTACCATAAGACAAGCAAGAAGTGTCAAGGTAAAACTATTACACTCTCCCGGCCCCATAGGAAGCCCAAGGTTCTATTAGATAACACAATCCAGTTAGGAGATGCAATTGTGGAAAGGGGAATATTAAATAATCACTCATGCACATGCATAACCACATTGAAGTGTAATCCAACTCAACTTCATCACTCTCACAAGGAGATGACGCAAAACTATATCAGTCTACAGTCCATTCATAAAAAGATGGGCTCTGGCTCTGGCGAGCTCCCGTATTTGGCGGTTTTTCGTGATTTCATCGTACACAGTGCAGTGCTGCGAACTTTGAAATTTGAAAAAGGGTCCAAAAAGGGTGCCTGAACTGGGGTTCGAACCGCAGAATGCACTGTTGCCAGGCGGGGTCAAACGGCCTGGATTTTGATGGTTTTCCCAATTCTGTGCTTTTGGGGCAAAACCTGGCCGAAATCCTATTCTTGCTATGGCTTGCTTTTTGGACAAAAAAACTTCAGAAACATAATTGGAAGAGGATTCCATAGGGGATTGCCAAAAAAATTCTAAAAAAACTCAAAGTTTGACCCATTTATGGCCAAAAGCTAGAAGTTCATTTTTTTCTGAATGGACTGTATAACATAATTATTAACTATCTCAGTAAGAGATGCATATGGCTCAGCCCAGTTAGATCAAGGTTGCTGTCGTTGTGAGGCTAGATAGTTCTGCAGCGGTTTAATATTCCGACCAGACTCATCACATAGGTTGCCAGCGGGCTCCCACGTAGCTTCGCTGCTGGGGTAACCCTTCCAATGCACCAGGAAGTGTTGCTCACCACTGCGGTGTCGGTGATTCAAAACGGCTTCGACAACATAGCGTGTGTGTCCATCTAGATCTGTGAAGGGCGGAGGCGTGGTGTCTTCCAGGAATCGTGTTCTCTTCGTAGCGTTTAAGAGCAGTGACATTAAACACGGGATGGCAGCGAAGTTCACGGGGTAGTTCCACGAGAGGGCTGGCCACGAGCTTCCGGGGTCAGTAGAAAGTCTCTGTAGACAAGAACGCTATCACCAACCTTCAAATCACTGTGCGTTCTCGTCTGGTCTGCGTATAGAGCTTGCCTTGGCTGGGCGTCGAGCATAGCATCTCGAGCTATCCTTAGTGCGGCTTCCTGCTCATGAAGCCAATCGACCGAATCACTCCTTTCCCCTCCCGTAAGAATGAATTCGGGCGGGGACTTAGGGTCAAACCCATAGTTCAGATAGAACGGTGTATTAGCTACAGATGACTGTTGTGAACTATTTATTGCAAACTCGCAGAGTGGTAGAAGCGAATCCCAATTGTCCTGTCTCAAGTTCACAAATGCTCTTAGAACATCTCCCACTTGCCGGTTAACTCTCTCTGTCAAACCATCCGTTTGAGGGTGGTTAGCAGTGCTGAATGCCAATTTAGTTCCTAGCTGAGAGAATACTTCTTTGAAAAAAGCTGCAGTGAATCGTGGATCGCGATCGGAAACAATGGTTGAGCTCAGCCCGTGCAGACGAAACACGTTTTGAATGTACAGTTGAGGGCTGCCCTTAGCATCAATCTTCGAGTTTGTTGGAACAAGATGTACGCATTTCGTAAGTCGGTCCACAAAGGTGTAAATTGCGTCGAAGCCACGAGAAGTAAGGGGCAATCCAACAATAAAATCCATTGAGATATCCTGCCAAGGACTATTAGGTATTGGAAGTGACTGGAGAAGCCCTGTTCGTGGCTGACCTCCCTTCGTTCGCTGGCAGAGATCACAGGTTTTGACAAATCTCTTGATATCGAGACCCATTCGGGGCCAGTAGAAAAAACGTGCTAGGCGGAAGTACGTTCGATCA